CGCCATTGGAGTCGCGATGGCCGGATCTACAAGGCGGGGTGGTCCACGCGCGGAAAGGTCATCGGAAGACGAACGATCGCTTGGCGGTGACTCTTGGTATTCCGGGGGCATTTTGTGAATTTTGGATTTGTTTGTGTTTGTTTTTTTATTTTTTCATTTTTTTATGTGTTTTGTAATAATTTTTTTTGTCTTATGCATGTCCAAAAATCTAAAGATATTTAGTTGTGGAATTTATTCTAACATGTGATGTTTTTTTATGTGATTAAAATATTGGATCAACGAGTCTCCTATTCATTAGGAACGGACGGTGATTTTAATACATTTAATTTCTCAAATTTTATTTTAGTTGATTTCGGTTAATTAAAATCTTAGATTTTTTTAATTAAGAAAATAAAAAAAAAACTAGAAAAAAATATATATTCAAATTTTCAACGAAGTCTCCTACATGGTAGGGACCGACTTCACATAAAAAATCTAAAATTCTCGATGAAATCTCCTATCTAATTGGGATCGACGTCATAAAAAAAATCATTGTTTAAATAAAAATATCCTCCGACACACCGGTTGTGTCAAGGCTTAAAGTGGATCCGATGTTTGAATCGACGTGTCGCCCAATGAATGGGACCGACGATCGTTTCAATACGATGCCACGCTCGAAAACTAAAAAATTCAATTTGTTTAAAAAATGAGAGTTTAAAAAATCGAGAAAATAATTTGACGCAAAATAAAATATTTTAGGAGATAAATTTAGAGTTAAACCGGACGTGGTACCTTTTTTCGAAAAGGGCGCTTTTGGGTGATCGATATCTTTCCAAAAGCGTAACCAACTCCTTACCATAGAATCTACGAACCGAGTGTCCGTTTTAGGTTCCTAGTTCCTTCGATAGTAGATGGCGACTCCAAACTACGTAAATAAACTTGTGAATATTCAATCTAATTTTAGATATTTTTCGAGGAGTTCCGTCCGATGTCGGGTAGCGACAAACGGATCAAATTCGAATTGAATTATAGTAGAAGTACATCCGATTTGCTTAGTGAAACATTTTGGATCGAATCTTTTAAACTTGAATAGGAATTTAAAAATGTAAGTACGGATCCTAATGGATATAGATCGGATTTAAAGCTCTATCAAATTTGTCACTTGGTTTTTAATTATAAAAAAATTTATGCTTACAAAATTTAATATATTGCAAGAATATAAAATATATTTCGACCACTATATACATATATAATAAAATTTATTAAGATAATATTTAATTTATTAATTTTGTAAAAAATTCAAACGGCAACACAATTCAAAAGCAAAAATCAAATAATTTTAATAAAAGTTTATCTTGAATTAAGTAAAAAATATGATAAAACTAAAAGAAATAGCATGCACGCGTGTGCACACGCACACATATATATTACAAAACAAGAAAGAAAAGAAAATCTATTATTATTATTATCATATATTTTTTATAATTATTTAATGCATAAAGAGTAGAAATGTAATGAGCTAAGTAAATGAAATACCATAATTTTTTCTGTTTTGATTTGAAGGCCAATCATTTATAGTAATTATTGCTTACACAATCTCTAGAAGTAAAGATACACGATAATTATCAATAACTCTACCTTCAATACTGAATTTTTCATAAAATGCAAGTCTATATGGCCTAAGTATAATAGATAAATTATAGCTTTATCTTTTAGCTTTAATTTCCCATAAGAATCACATGAATTGGAACTTTAGACATGAAGTTATGCCCAAAATACTCGAGTGTGTTCAAATCAGAAAATTTCTTTTTTTTTTCTTTTCAAATTTATTTAGAAAAAAGAACTCCAATTGTACTATTCTTCTCCAAATTGCATTGATTTTTTATTTTATCAACCCTTTTTTTTATTCTCTTCAATTTTTCCTTGGTTCCAATCAATTGGTTTTTTCTTCTATTTTTTCTCTTTTTCCTACTCTTTTTTTTTTTAAATATAATTATGACAAATATAATAACATCAATTCTTGTGAAGATATATAGGTCAATTTATCACTAAATTTAATTATGAAAATAATAAGAAATTTATGTGTTTTTTTTTTAAATAGAGTCATCACCGTGAAAAGATATGTTGTATTTAAATTTGATAATAAATAAACTCTAAATTTCAACCTAATTCCATATTTATATATATTTTATTATTTTTTAAATATTATTTTTAATTTTGATTTGGATTATTATCGGATTGGGATTGAATCACGATAGATCCATTTAATAAATGAGTTCACATATTTGGATCATAATCGGACTCGAATAAAAAACATATTTACCATATTAATTTAATTAAATCAAATTCGAGTCAATATCCGATTAATTTAAAGCCTTAGACATGAGCCATAAATATTTAGGGAGTTAGTTGAATTGATAATTGGATTTATTATTCATGTTGTCATCATTTTAGGTAAAATGCACATTATTAAAAAAAAAAAAAAACAGCAAAATAATGACAAAAATTTTTCTCACTAAACCAAAAATTTCCATCACGATGTCGGTTTAGCGACAGAAACAAATCATCGCTTAAATGCTTTTTGCTAATTTTTTTGTTGCTATTTCATTGTAAACGATCGTATATTTAGTGTGAAATCCATTATCAAACCATCGATAATTAGTTTTTTTTTTTCACTATTAAGAGACAAAAATTCGTCACTAAATTTTGTCGCTAATTTCAATCGCCGATCCGTTGCTGGATCCATTGCTATTTTTAGTGAATTATACATTGCTAAATTAAAGAATTTTTTAAAAAATATTATGTCATAGTAACCAACAACTAAAATTAAAATTATAACATAAAATATTATTGAATCAAATTAAATGAATGTAAAATCAAATCGAAATAAAAAAAAAGTCATTATTAAATTTAAGGGCTAAATCAAAATTGCTAGTGTTGATACAATGGAATAAGTTTGGATTTCTCCAATATTCCTCTACTTGAAATTAAAGTCCTTTTGAGAAGAGTGACTGCACTTGTAGAATCTCTAATCAAATATGTCTCCGCAAATTAAAGCAATTGCTTCTCTTCGCTTGATCTCCATACTCACATTATTCAAATCTCCACAATTCCTTCTCTTCTCTAGATCTCACTTTCATTCTTCAAATCTCCAAAATCCCTATCATGCTTTTTAACTGAATCCACTCCCTACAATAACAAACTAGAATCAAATCCTAAAAATTCCCAATTCTATAAATCCTAATTGTTCATCTAAATAGCTCAATCAATTTTGTTTTTTTGCTTCAATTAAAGCAATTAAAGCAATTAAAGCAATGAAGTCGATTGAAGGTGAATGAATGAAGAATCGAACAAACATACAACCCTAGCCCCCAATCCGTTTAATCTTCCTCCTCGGATTTCCAATTCCACCTATTCTTCTTTTTCAAATCAACACAATATTAATGAAAGTTTAGAGAATGATAGATTCAGATGGTGGTGTATGGGTCGGTCCTTGGTGAAGAGGCAATGTTGGTGTGGGTTTTGATGGCTGGTTTTGTGAAGGATTTTGGCTGATGATAGCTAGTTTTGCATGGAGTTTTGGCAATGGTGGCTGTGGTGTTTGGAAAAGAAGAAGGCTGACTGTGGGCATTAGACATGAAAGGAAGCAAGGTGGCTAGTGTTTATTTATTTATTTATTTATTTTTGCAGTTATGGGTGAGGAGAAGAGAGGCTGACTGTGGGCTCTAGGCAAGAAATGAAAAAGGTGACACAATTAGGGTTTTTTTTGCAGTTGTTGTTGAGGAAAGGAAGAGATAAAGGGAAGTCTATATGTTTTGGCAATTTTTTTTTCTTTTTTCAATTAGTTAATGAAAGTTAATTAAAATAATAATAATTTTTTTCATTTAATTAAAATTCAGACATGAGACTTTTTTTTTTTTTTTGTCCGTGTTAGTTGCAACTATCACGTGACAGATCTTATCAGACACATCAATAAAATTATATTTCAAGTGAACTCGAGCATCAAAATAAATAAAAAATTAAAAATTATATAGCAAATCATTTGAAATTAATAGTTGGACATAGAAACAGAAAAACAATCAAAGGTTAAGCACAAGTACAGCTATAAGCTATAGTAGTCCACAGCCTTTTCAAATGGGCCCTAAGTATGTTGGTTTCATTTTAACCGCTTTTAATTGTCCGATTAAGGTTTAGCCAAGTTCTTCGGCAAGCATAAGTTAACCTAATGTGAACCCATTCTTGCTTATAATCAGTCCCAATGCCACTATTACCTTTTATTGAGACGCATTAATTAATCTGATTCAAAATATACTTCTAAATATATCAGACGGTGGTAAATGAAATTGTTTCCATAGGTACATACCACATTTGACTTCAGTCTTTCGGGCTGTCTTCACCATGTTGGAATTAAATCATATGGGTATTAATCTTCCATCCTTGTGCTAGAAAGATTTGATTTTCTAATAAATGTTGGTTTTCTACCTGATACGAGACTTGTCATTAATCCTTATTAAAGTTAATTTCCTAATTAAAACTTGTTATTGATTAGTTAAAGCTACCGTAAATATAGAAACTTGCTGATTTGAAAAAACGCTAATACCGTATGCGTAAACTGAGTTACAATCGATTAGTTTTGTGAATTTTAAATAAATTAATATATACTATTAGTTTTTGTTTTTTGAATCGATAAGATAAAATATTGCATTTGGATATTACTTTCCTACATTTGGTAATGGAGTTTTCGTCAAGTACAACACACTGGAAAGACTTAGTTTTTCAAATAAAGCTTTATAAAATAGAAGGTGACACTTGACAAGCCAGATGCAAAATATGCTTGTCGATATTGCAACATTTGACAAGCCACAGCAACAAGCAAACGAGCTACTCAGATATCAGGTCGCACTGCATATGGAAAAGGTTGATCTTCAATCAATCAACCGACTGTACAAATTACACGAGCAAGAACACAACAGCTAATTACACGAGCAACAACAATTTTTATATACAGTTCTAAGCAATTGTTATCGACAGGTTTCATCAACACAAGATCTTGTAAATAAGAGAGCTGATCCATTGACACCACGCAGGACTAGAAGCCTGGAGTCGACGTATGTTCCGCAGACGAGCTTAGACAAATCAAACATCTCAGGAGGTACTTGCACACGAATTTCTTGAACTATACTGCTGGGTGTAACGATATTTTGATTTAGCTGATCGTCGAGACTCATTGTTACCTCAATGTCAGCTGAAACAAGTTTGGCCACTGGAAGGCTCGATGGAAACTCCTTAAACGGGACAAGTTTCCTCCATTTTTTAGCTGATAATTTCTGGGCTAAAGAATCTTGATTGTTTGACTGCCCAAAGGAGAAGTTTTCTGATGTCTTTTCTTCCTTAAGATACAACCGTCTCCCAGATGTTGATTGGAATAAAGAGTTCACTTCCAATTTCCCAGTTATACCAGTTTTGTCATGAGGCCAATCTCGACCAATCATGACCGTGAAGCCAATGTCAGAAGTGAAGGAAAGACTAGTATTTAGTTTCGATGCTCTATTTATAGTTAGATTAACGTCACCAATCAAGACACGAGCAGAAGGCTGACGAAGGGTCAATCCTATTTGCCTCCCAGTACAGTATAATAGACGCCATTTTCCTGGAAGCAACTCCAACCAGTTCTGCGCATTGAATTGGAACAGATATATGAGTAACCTTTGAGAATAAGAAAGCCTCAGCCCTGAACTAGTTAGAGATAGATGGAAAAAGCATAATCGATCAATAAAATGTTTCATGTTATATCAGAAGAAAGAATCCAATGGATATGGAATATTTATCTGATAAAGAAATACAACAGCTAAGCAACAAAATAAGTTTTTAGCTTCTTTTTCTTTATATCATATTAATGCAATTAGCAGTTAGCCCTTTTTACATAAATCATTAACGTAACAAAATGAGAAAGTAAATGGCAAAGAATAAGTAAACATAAATTAGGAGAAGTCTTGAATGTAAAGGTGATGATACAAGTTATAATATCTTTGAGGAAGCTAGACTTAGATCCATATGACTCTTTGGAGAGAACAAAAGATTTAATGAATCCACAATAGCTACAGACAATGCAGATAATTACTAACCTCTGGCCTTGAATTAGCATTCAGCATCTCCATCAATTCGATAAAATAGGAAAGTCTATTACGCTATCACATCAAAATTCACAAGTTAGTTTACATTGTCAAACTAATGTCTTGCAAGCTATAAGCTAACACACAGAGATCTTTCAAGCAACAGAAAATCAGTTACTACTACTAATTGTTCCACCACATACTTGTGCTTCGCTAGAAAAAACAGGGTCCTTTCTAGGTCTCACAAAGCCTCTGATAAATGATCAAGATGCATGGTTGCAGTACTCTATGCTCATAGAAGATGATTGATAGGAATGAAATTAATGCAACTGTAATATGCCGAAACAGCATTTTCACTAATCGAATTCCTACAGAAACCAAACATATACAAATTCTACTATTTCTACTAAACCACAGTTTGAAAGAAGCCAAATCAACGATTGTCAGTGCATGAAATTTTCAAAATTTCCAGCCAATCAGCGCACTGGCTTGAAAGAGGCACAGCCAATGAATAGAACTGAATGACAATAGAGAACTTAGAAATGCTAACTATATACACACCTGAGTTGGTCTATAAATGTATTCCTCTGTAATTCGAACTGCAGTTGAGCCAAGACCCCATCTGATGATATCCATGGATGGCACCACCCGCCATCTTGGCCCACACAGAAACGGATGCCTGAGGGCATCCAAACAACTGCAAAGCAAATCAAAATAATCATCATAGATGCCTCATCTCTCAAATTCATTCAGTTTCCATTCAATATGGTTAGCCTCGTGTTTTCTTTATTCTTGTCTGATAAAAGATGAACTGATGAATACCTTATTCTTTTGGAAGGTTTGGTTGCCAATAATAAATATAGAAGGTTCCAACCAGCACCCCAGTTCCGATCGAGTATCTAGACGAAACAAAACGAACTTATACATCCTCATTCACATGGCTTTCACTTAAAGAAAACAATCTTTATAGAAATTGCGAAAAAATGCAGCCTAAAGTATGGTAACTCGCATTAGTGCTACTTACTTGAAGTCCAACATTTCCAGATGGAGAATTCCTACTGAGGACTTGCAATAAAAATTCACGTAAACATGAAGGATCGTTTCCCTGCACTCATTCATAAAAGAAATTTGATGACACACTTGACACTCAATTGGAAAGTACAACTTCCAAATTAGGATTAGCACCAGCAGATGATGAGTGATGCCAGATGATACTATAAGTTTTTTTTCTCATATAGAGCAAACAAAGTTGCTGTTAACATATTACAGTCTCTTCATGCACCTTGTAGAAATTAATGAAGAGAAACAACTTGAGCTTATCCAGAGAGGTAATGCAAGTCAACACAATTTCATCAGGTTCTGGATTGATTGATCCAAAAGCTTACAGAAAAAGAAAAGGACCAGCATGTTGTACCTTCATGAGGAATGATTTGAACTTCATGAAAATTAATGGATCCATGAGTTCCCGCAGCACCATTTTTGCCATCATAAATCCTACACATCTTCTCAACGTGGATGAAACAGAATTCAGTACAATGGTAGCTCAGGGAGTAGCACCAACTGGAAACACTTTTATGTCTATCTATCTTAATCATACCTCATGTCAAATCCAATCATCATCTGCCGCCTGTCTATGTTGTCCAGTGTGCTACTATTTGGACCATCCTCATAAAAGTCAGCAGCATTCCCTAGTATCCCTACCTGAAAAGTTGGAATTTCACAAGTTTCACATAGTAAAACATCACTAAAAGAAAGAAGCCACCCGTTACACAACTTAATCGATAGAACAGATTATGGAGCAGAAAAGTGGATAGTACCCAATTGTGAAGATGCACAAATTCAATGGTGCTGATTCATTTAAGACTTGTTTCGTTTCCCATTATTTGTGCTAATAAACCTTTCCTCAACAATAAGTCTAGACCCACCAAATTTTCCTATTATTCAATGCTGTCATGAAATTTGTCATCAAAACATTTGAAGAGGTACTGATCTTTCAAAGCAGAAAAGCAAAATAAAAACTTTTGACTTCACTAGATCCATGGAAATTGTTTCCATCAAATGTTATCATATCAGACAACACGGATCAACAAGAGTTTCCTCACACAGCCTTCTACTCAAAAGAAAATCTATATATCAAATTTAATTTTAAATTTGCAAAACCTAAATTCCAGAAACAGCATAAAAAGGGGAAAAGCCAGCATTTACTTTAATATGCCTATCCACTGGGCTTATATGCACATTCTCCAGCCTCAACTCTGTATGCGCAAGTCCATGACTGTGCAAGTAGTTCACCTGAAGTAAGCAAAACAACACCTTACACTTTAGTTATACACAATAAATGGCAACTAGTTGTCAAAAGGTAATTCATGGATAGAATTAAGTTATACATACTCCAATCAAGAGATCCCTCATCAATATGCGTATTATTCGCAACTGCCGAGATACAGCAGGTCCTCCAACTGTGTCATCTCCCACCCTCCTGGCGGATTCCTCATCCAATGCCAGAGTGGCTTCCAAGGTAGGAAGCCAATCTGATTGTTGAAGCCAATGTCTCAAAGAAAAACTACCATGATACTGTCAAAAAAAGAAGTAATAAACTTTCACATCCCTAAACTCGCATATGGAAAAAATTGAAAGACTGGAAGAACTGCTTCCATATGCAGAGAAATGAAGGATTGTCCAGTAAACAGAAAATCTCCAACAGAGGTCTCCTGGAAATACCAATCTTCCCAGCATAAACAACTAAATGTTTCATACAAGGAACATTTAATGCAAATGCAATATGAGAATCCTACACAGAAACAGGGCATACCCCATGGACCAACGTAAACGAGCCATGGCCACTACTAGCAGGTGAAGAAATGTAACCATAAACTTGCATGGAATAAGAATGGTACATCAGCTTACGGCGAACCAACTTCTTCAATACCTAAAAAACAATTTAACAACACCAAGTTACACCCAGATTCAAAACCTCAAATACCAAGTAAAGAAAAAAAAATCAGAAGCACAACCCACAAACCTCTAATGCTCGCTTTCCTCTACGTTTGGCTTGAGTACTGGTAAGCTTCCGAAGCACAACTTTATTGTCATACAGAGGACTGCAATTCCACATTATACCTAAGCACACCATATTACAAAATCAAATACGAAAAAAAAAAAAAAAAACTGAAAACTAACCTATTAGAATCCTTCACTATGGCTTCCAAAACCACCTCATCCGCCTAAAAAATATATATATTCAGTTAACCATGCTAAAGACTATCCTTAGCTCTAATTACCGTAATTAAAAATAATTAACAATTTAAAATTTAAAATTAAAGTTGACTTTTCTGGCTTACCCGGCCACCAAGGCCAATGCTAACACGATCAAGCACCTTAAAATCAGACATCGTGAACCTCATAACATTTCCTCCTCCTCCTCCTTCCTCCTCCTCAATTAAGCATTTCCTTCCATTTCCTCCTGATTCCAGCGGAGACGAAACAGCTTTATTCAACGAAGACAAACACCTCACAACTCTCCCTACTTTGACATGTGCGATACTACTATTACTAGGTCGTTTAATCAGTTTTGTCGACAAATTATCAGAAAATGAACAGAATCCGACTCCACAAATCGCCGTCCCCGCCATCAATCAGCTACAAAACTCCAAAAATCCAAAAAAATTGATCAAAAATCACAAGAGGAAGAAGAGTTAGTTACCAGCGGAAGAGAGAAGGAGAGGGAAGTGTACAAGAAATAGAGGGAAGGAGAAGAGCGTGAGAGTTGCGTGAGTGAGTACGGTGGGAAGGAAGGAGCCATGGGTTTGGCACGTGTCAACGGCCTTTTTTCCAAATGTCTATTTCTCTTTTTTGGATTTGCTCTGCTGTTTTTTGTGCGTTTTGCGTTCGGTGCACACTCCTTTTACCGCCACGTCAGTTTTAGTCGTTTTTGCACGTTTTTGTTTTCGAGCTCAAAAACCCAAGTAGGAGGAGTACTACTGTTTTGTGGATAAGATAAAAGGAAAAAGACTTGCGTTTGTAGGTTTAATTAGAGTAAATTATCAATTAGTCCCTATAATTTTTCAAAACGAATTAAATAGTCTTTTTATTTTCAATAACTAATTAATTAATCTTTATATTTTCATGTCTATTTGTAACTTAATCATTTTTAAATTTTTTCAATTTTTTAATAAATTAAAAAATAAGTAAAAAAATGAAAAGATTGATGAAAAAAAAAGAAATTTCGTAGAACATGATCCATACTAATTAAGAGACTAAATAATTATTTTTGAAATAAGAGGGACTATTTAATTCGTTTTGAAAAATTAAGGAGATTAATTTGTAATTTACTCGTTTAATTACGGAAAAAGATAACGAATACGGATCACGAATCAGGGCAGAAAACAAATGCCTCAAATACGTCTTTTAACTACAGTATTGCCCTTCTCTCTTATCAGTGGGATTTCGGGTGCAAAATTTCGTGACACCCAACCAGCATTATCTGCTAATTGCCTAGCTCTTTACAGCTTTTTTAATTTTTTTGAGCTATAGAAATTTCCATTAGCGTCCGTGACGAAAAGATTACTAGATTATTCTTCATTTTTCTATTTCAGGTTAAGGTGGTTGGATCAATTTTCCAAATCAGGATCGCTATATCCATATGAGATTTTACGTACTAAGATTGTTTAAAGGACTTTTTTCTTCTTTTTTTTGTTTTATGATTTGGATTAGGTTTTGCTACCTGCAGGAGCTGAGCACTGATAAATCTTCAGAACTTTTTTATTACAGAAGATTAAGTACTAACTATATCAAATCTTCTTCGTTCTTAAACTAACAAAAACTAGTCCAAACTATGGAAAGAAAAGCCTTTCTGCCTGCTGCTGATCAAAGCATCACTGCCAACAGTTTTTGGTCCAAATGCAGCCAATACCTGACAGGCAAACATGTAGTGGACAATTAAAGAACTGATAAATTGGAAAGGAGTTAAAAGAATCATTGCAAATGGCTATTGTGCTACTATAACCTTTAAGTGGTGATGTATCAATCAATTGATTACATAAAACTTCAGAGCTAGTACAGAAAATATACTTACAAATTTGTTAATGAAGAACTCTAAATAAGCTAAGCAATGTAACCAATTAAAGTAGCTTGTGGATCTTGCACAAAGTTGGAAAAAGCTAAAGCAAAGAACAATATCTAACAGAACATAGGCTGTTACCTTATGCAGTTATTTGGTCCCATTTTCTGTCAGCAAGCCCTTGATTTTGTGTAGTTCCATAACAACATCACATAACTTCATTCGTTGTCTTGGTGATTCCTCGGAACAAGCAACTCCAATCTCAAGTATAGAAGTAAGGAACTTGCGGATATTGTGCGCTTTTTCTGGTTTTCGGGTACTGCTTCTTGATGCTTCGTTCCCTTCTAGTTCCAAAAGGAGGGCGTGATCAACAATATCCGTCAGTCCTTTTGGCAATGCCATCTTGACTAAGTTGTGAAGGTCTGAGCCATCCTTGAACATATCGTCTGTGGGCCTTTTCCCAGTGAATATTTCCAACAGGAGGATTCCGAAGCTATACGCATCACCCTGGGTTGTTGCTACGCTTCCCAAGCCATATTCTGCAAATCCCACATTTCAGATTAAGCAGTCTATTATGCAAGATATTGTTTAAGACATTGAATCAATAACTGGTATTACTTTTAGGAACTATAAAAAAAAACCTGCAAAATATGACTAGAAAGTTAGTTCTTGCAAAGAATTTACATACCAGGAGCAGCATATCCAATGGTTCCCTTAAAGCCACTTGAGCTGGTCTGATTTGGAGGTATTTCAACATCGCACTGTTGGATGATCTTTGCTAGACCAAAATCGCCCAGCCGAGCAGTCATGTTAGAATCAAGTAGAATGTTGCTGGGCTTCAGATCACAATGTATGATGGGTCTTTCACAATGGTTATGAAGATAATCCAAAGCAGCAGCTACATCAATGATTATATATAATCGCTGAGAAAGACTCAAAATATTTGGATCCTCAGTCGCATCACTTGTTGTTTGCTGAGGTGGATGCAACCATGTCTCAAGACTCCCATTCGGCATGAACTCGTAAACAAGCGCTTTAAAATCAGCACCATTGTAGTCAACACCTGAGCAAGCGGTTATGACTTTGACAAGATTTCGATGTCTGATGCTTCTCAAAGCTTCACATTCGGCTGTGAAGCTTTTGGATGCTCCTCTCTTTTGCAACTTGAGTACCTTCACTGCCACAACTGAATTATCTGGCTCAAGAACCCCTTTGAACACTGAGCCATAGCTGCCCATACCAATTAGATTTGCTGCAGAAAATCCGTTAGTTGCTTTGAGGAGGTCTCCATAAGAAATAAACATCGACTGATCCATCAACAAAGATGGTGAAGATGACTGCTTCTGTTCCTTCTTACACCAATAAATCAATAGAAAACCAAGCACCAAAGTCGATCCCAGAAGTCCACACACAAGGGAGATTACTAACTTGACAGCGTGAGAAATTTGTGCCTTTCTGAACTTCTTGGTAGAGCACAATGGCAGTCTTAACTCAGGTATTCCGCCACACAGGTTCTTATTTCCAACCACAGATATTGCACTACCATTGCTGAAAACACCTCGAACCGGGACTTCTCCCTCAAAATTATTGAAAGAGAGGTTTAGTTTTCTTAAGAAGATAAAGGAACCGAAGTCTTCTAGAAGATTCCCGGATAAGTTATTGCGTGAAAGGTCGAGTTCTTCCATCCCTCTCAAAGAACTCAAAGAATATGGAATAATACCTGTAAAGGAATTATCATCCATGTAAAGGCGCTCCAGGATTGTACAAGTCCGAAGAGTGCTAGGAATTTCACCAGATAACTTGTTTTTAGAAATATCCAATGCAACTAGATTTTTCAAATTTCCTACTTCTGGTGGGAGGGGGCCATTCAGCTGATTTCGGGACAAGTTCAGAGATATTGTCAAAGATGACAAGCCTATGACTTCCCGGGGGATGGAGCCATTAAGTGCATTACCCTCTAGACGCAGTAGAGACAGATATTGACAATTCCCTAGGCTTGAAGGTATGGTACCCTCGAGATTGTTTTCCTCTAGCTATAGCTGGTTTAGCAACGTTAGATTTCCTATGGAGAAAGGAATTTTACTTGACAGCTCATTCTCACCCAAATTGACTTCTTGTAGCTTATGAAGTCTGCCAATAGTTTCTGGTACTCTCCCTGTCAATCGATTATAGTGCACATACAACGTATTCAAGCCGATCAGATTTCCAATACCAGGTGGAATGCTTCCGGATATTTGATTTGCTGCCACAGAGAAAAAATGAAGTTCTGTTGAGAGGTTGGTGAAAGAGCTGGGAAATTCTCCTCCAAAGATGTTGTCTTGTAGAAGCAACTTTCGCAAATGACTACAATTGGTTAAGGAGGTGATGAATCTAAGATCATTGGACCCACTTCCCAGATTATTTTCAGATAGGTTTAGCCAGCTGAAATTCTTCAAATTTCCTAAATGGATATCAACCCCTCCAGAAAGTCTATTCATTGAGAGGCCTAGGGTAACAAGGTTTGAAGCATTTGATAATGAAACTGGTATAGTTCCATTGATGTAATTTTTCCAAAGGTGAAGTTTCTCAATCCTTGGAAGATTAAGGCCTATATCGTGGGGAATATTTCCTTGAAGCTGATTATAGGCTAGGGATAAACCAGAGAGGAAAGAAAGATTGAAGATGGATGGAGGAATGTGACCTGATAGCATATTGCCAGTAAGACTAAGATGGGTTAGGCCTTTTAGTTGGCCTAGTGATTCTGGAATCATTCCCTCCAACTGATTCTGAACCAAATAAAGTGATTCAAGAGCTGAAAGGTTCCCGAGAGAAGTTGGGATCGTCCCTTCAAAATAGTTCTTACCCGCATAAAGGCGCACCAGCTTTGTTAAGAATCCAAGCTCAAAAGGGACCTGTCCCGTGAAGTTGTTTTTTCCTAAGCCAAGGATTCTCAACTTCGAACAACTTGATAGATTAGCCGGTATGTGTCCTTGTAAAGAATTATTTGACAACATCAACTCCTGCAACCGAAACAAGCGACTGATTTCTTGAGGGACTTCGCCTTTGAAGCTGTTGTTTGAAATATCGATGATTCAAAGAAAACTGAGGTTTCCGATTGAAGGAGATATGTTTCCTGACAAACTTTGTGACCTTAAGCTCAACATGGTGACTCTTTGATGCTGGCGACTGCATGAAACACCCGTCCATTGGCAAAAACGGAGAGATGTGTTCCATGAGGATAGGACATGCATTGGATCATGAATCTGATCCTTGATGGCAAGCAAAGAAAGCCTGTCTGTCTCGTTCCCAGCATGATTGTGCATGATGGCACCAATCATACTTGAGAAACCTTGATGCACTAGAAGCAGGGCAATGCATAAGAGTAGAGCAGCAAATAAAGCAAAATAGGATTGAAAGGTTTTCATGTTTACTGAGATGTTTAAGAAATTGAGACTCTTGCTATGTATGGATATCTGTAGTCTCGTAGTTTATACAAAAAACGCACACAACCACACATAGCCTTTTCGTACCATGTTTGGATTAGCTGACTCAAAGTCTTCTTACAGGACATGCTTGTTTGGATTAGCTGACTCAAAGTCTTCTTACAGGACTTGCGCACAAAGGTCATCACAAATAACAGGCAGGAAATTGCAAGCTCTAGATACAACATTCGGTGGCATGTGAATTATTAGACATCTTTATAAAAAAGTGATTGAATTATTGTGTTGTATTTGGTTGAAACTTATTAATAATATGTTTTTATTGTGTTTGATTCATCTTTTGAAATTCACTAACAATGGTAACAAGTTTATCATTTTACCTTAAAATTTTAAATATTAGTATTAATTTGTGTTTAAAACTAATATATTAAAATAACTCCAACAATAAATTTAATTTTAAAAATTATAATTATCAAGTAAATTAGTATATTTACCAACAAATTAATAATTTACATAATATATTAATTATGTTGGTACTAAATTAAAGTCACCCAAACACATATTAGTTGTTCACACACACACTAGTCAGTAATCACTTAAAACATTTGACAAGGAAGAGTTTTGGACTACAGGCTAGCAAATAAAGAACACATCAATGTTACATAAACATGCCCAAGCTTTTATAATGTTTGGAAAATGTTAAATGATCCCCAGCACAGGGTTGGGTAGGTGACTCTCACCGCAAAAATTCGAAATCGAAGGGAAGCTTTTCCGGAAATATATTGCACTTCATATCAGCCCCTGGCGCTGCAGATCAGTATATGTCTTTTTGTTGTAAATGTTACCCTCTTTATCTTCATATTCTTCCTCAAGATCTGGGCGCCACTTGTTCACTCCTTGCCGCTCCTGTATCCTCTTCCATAATTCTTGTGCTTCCTGGAAGAAAAAAAAAAAACGAGGTGAATAACTGAAATGTTAAATTCAAAACTAACATACAGAATCTGAACCCAGAATTTACATTTAAAAAATAAATAAATAGAATCGGAGTTTGATTGGTATAAACTAAAAAAAAGGCATATAGCTAGCAAAGGAAAGATCAGGTTTCAGAACAAGATCTGAGTGTGCACCTCAATCGACGTGATCTCATTGAAGTTCTTGGTGTTTGGAATGCCAAGGCAACGCATTCCATGCTGATGACGCCATTCCTTGAAATGCCGCTCAAATGCTCTACGACCCCAGTAGCTATAGTTCCCACATATCTCGCACTTGAATTCCAGACATGCAGGAAAATAATTGAGATCCTCTGGCCATAGAAATAGAAACTATCAAATAGTATAGCTATACAAGGATTGCATACAAAGATCCGATCCTCCAATAAACAACTAGTATAACTAGAGAAGTATTACGTGCATCGTAGTGATAGATAATGCTACCATATGTTAGTTTTGGCAGCTTGAAAATGAAAACTTTCACACATACCAATTAAATATATCTGGGAAAATAAAACCAATTTACGGCAGCAAAAAACTACTCTCCACTTGTAGAAAGAAAAAACTCCACAACCAAAACGCAGACAGAAACGAAAGATACCAGTGATGAGATATAATACTTAAAACGACAGTAATGAGTTTTCAAAATTAAAAGGAGAAATACCTGACCAAGACACAAAGTTTATATAGCCAGTAAGGGATAGGCTTCCCCTCCCAATTCATTGGCAACTTGAGGGGATTGTAAATATATTCTGCTTGTACTGGGTTGAAAAGGGGTTTGATCCCATAATATCACCATGGTGCAAATGGCTTGATTCAAATTAGACGAGGTACCAAAAGAAAATAGAAGGTCATAATGAAATGCTACGCTAAAAGTTATGATCCGCACTCTAGTTAAAGGCTTTAGCACTTGAAGAATTTGTGGTAGCTTAGGACAACTTACCTCCTCATGCTCTGCTTCCATTTCATCATGTGTCAAAGCCTGCTTCTTCACAACATTTTATTTTTGTTCGAACAATTGTCTGCACAAGGTCACAGAAAAATCAAATATCCAACTACCACAAAAAGAAAAATAATAAACGACAAAAAAATGTGACTCCACAGCGATGTTCTTGATATAATTAACATTTTTTCAGTGTTTGAACACATTGTATTATATCAGAGAAGTTTAACATTGATCGCATTGTATGATATCAGAGTATTTCATTTTAAACTACCAAGCAATCAACAACAAAGAACAGCATCCCATTTTGCACTTTAAGCTCGACGCTATAAGGAGAACGATAACAACAGCAACATGTCAGCATCAGCTGTCCCCTGGTGATGACAAAATACAGAAGTAGATCCTTGTTTCTTTTCCATTAACATAAACTATCAGAAATCAGTAAGAAAATGCTCTATTATTATCGATTTCCCAGCAAAAAAGAAAACGATTCACAAAAACAATGATATGCCAACAAAAATGGGGATCAATAACAGTATGATAAGCTGGTACATGCAAATCTTCTTGACCCTTCTTTTCCCATCCTTGTACCATGCCATTTTCTCAAAATTGTGGCTGGCCAAGTCTAGCATCATGATGTTTAGAGGTAGCACATTTTGTAGCCCCGTAAGCCTATATATTACTAATGGAAACTTTGAGTATTTGGTAAATCAACAGGCACATATCATACAGCGACATAAGCACCATGAGGAAATGAATTTGAAAAAAACAATGACAGAAAAAGAATCATATAAAACAAACCTTTGAAAAAATCTTATCAAGATCTTGCAAGAGCTCTGTCCGCTGGAAAAAATAAACTAGATATTCAACTAGATTCTCCATGTATTCCCAGCAGAAAGTGAGAGAGAGTGAGAGAGAGGGGGATCAAGATATAGTGGGAAATAGAATGAGAGTAAAAGAGGGAGCAAGAGAGGAAGAGAAGGAGCGAGAGCAAGAAAGAGGGATAGAAAGAGAGAGAAAGTGAAAGAAGGGATAGAAAGAGATGGAGAAGGAGAGGGAGAGGGGGAGGGAGAGAGAAGGAGAGAGGGAGTGAGAGAGATAAAAAGGGCCAGAGGGGGAGATAGATAAAGAGGGAGAGAGATGGAGAGAGAGAAGGAGAGATAAAAAAGGTGGGAGGGTAAGGTAGATTGAGTGAGTGAGAAGAGAGAGACAGAGAGAAAGGGAGATAGTGGGAGAGAGATGGAGAGAAAAAAAAGGTGGGAGGGGAAGATAGATTGAGTGAGTGAGAAGAGAGAGACAGAGAGAAAGGGAGACAGTGGGAGAGAGAGTGGAGAGGTAGAGAGAGGTTGAAACAAGCATACATCGTAAAATTTGGAGAAATAATTTCAAGTGAGTTACAGATGCAGGTAAATATAGCATCTGATTATTAACTAAAAATAAGTTCAAAAAAAATCAGGGGTTAGAGAGAGAGTCTGCCTTGTAAACGAAAAAATGTCAAGGTAAGCAGAGTATTCAATAGGTCATCTGGACAAAATAGCCTTGGAATTTATAGAGCCGCACGATAGAGCATGGTGGTGGGAGTCGGGATTTGTGGGCTGATTTTAGAGGTTTTTGAATCTAATTTGATACGAAACAGGTAAACAATCAAAATATATGTGTTATTTTTGTAAAAAAATATCGTTTAGGCTCTCAAATTGTCAATTTACTATTCTGTTCATATAATAGCAGGTTTTTTTAATTTTTCTTACTTAATTTTAAATTTTTAGTGTTTGTTTTCTTTTCAAATTGCTTTTTAGGATTTTTACTATTTATGTAAGATGTTTATACTGAAAAACATTACTTTTTTTATTAATAAACTTTGGTGAGAGAGTATCTTAATTTTTTCAATTGTCGATATTTTTTTAATTAACAGAATTTAAGCCTATTCCATGGTATTTACGTGTCCAATTCAACAATTTATAGTATATCAATATCAAAATTTCAGATTAACAGTATTTATCATTTTCTTATGAGTTTTCTCTACGTCAGCAGGCTTCTAGAATTTTAAATTATTGTACTGGTTGTACAATTCGTGGTATTTCCCGCATGCTTCCTGTAATATAAACCCAGCTAAAGTGTTAGTTAATTTAAATTGCAGGGCAAAAACATACAACATAATTAAGTGAAGTCTATGGTAGAAAAAGGCATATACTTGTTTTCCACTGCATATTTAACGCATCCACTATGATAAAAAAAAAAAAAATGTTGTCCACGCACTATTTCACTTTTATATGAGGGAGAAAACGTTAGAAACTACTAGAGCCCTAAATTATCAATTACCTAACATGAAAATTTTTAATCTTAGCACTATTTCACTATTTAAGCATCGTTTTAGCATTTCGAATAATAATCAATCCAGATTGACCGTTACATATAATAACAATTAGGAAAATTAGATTAATTTTGCTCAAATTACCAATAATTGAGGTTCAAATTACGTAATTTAATAATAAAGATCTGAAATTATTAAATCTCAATAGAATGAGGGCAAAATTTTTCATTAACCAGTTTTTTATAGTTGCAACTTCAAAGACATGACCAAATATTATTAAACCTAGCTAGCGTAGTGTCTGATAAACAGAGTCAAATGATTTCTCCTGCACACAAATGGCAATGATTTTTCTTGCAGCATAGATTTATCCTTGATTTGCTTTTTATGGGCAAGAAACTGATATTATACAAATTTCAGAAATTGATTTCTTATTTAAGTATAGAATGAATCTTTAGAATCCAGTTAGCAATCCATGGCTAGCTGGATTCCAGAAATCAATCCTTAGCTGGATAGCATTGTTATGCCTTCTACCTCCAGGAGCTGAGCACTGATAGATCTTTAGAACTTTCTGATATAAGCTGCTGCTTAACTTAATAAAAACTTAGATTATATTTTTTTTCTTTCTTGAGAAATCTGAAAGAACTTGCTTCATCAAATGGAAACGCATGTCTCATTTATTACAGAAGATTAAGTACTAACTCTATCAAATCTTCATCGTTCTTAAACTCATAAACTAGTCCAAACTTTGGAAAGAAAAGCCTGTCTGCCTGCTGCTGAACAGCATCACTGCCACCAGTCTTTGATCCAAATGCAGCCAATGCCTGACAGGCAAACATGTAGTGGACAATTAAAGAATTGATAACTTATAAAGGACTAAAAAGAATCATTGGAAATGGCTATTATGCTACTATAACCTTCAAGTGATGTATCAATCAATTGATTACATAAAACTTCAGAGCTATTAGTTTGATAAACATAAAATATACTTACAAATCTGTTAATGAAGAACTTTAAATTAAGTTAAGTAATGCAATAAATTAAAGTAGCTTGTGGACTTGCACAAAGTTGGAAAAAAGCTAAAGCAAAGAACAATATCTAACAGAACATAGCCTGTTACCTTAAGCAGTTATTTGCCCCCATTTTCAGTCAGGAAGCCCTTGATTATGTGTAGTTCCTTAACAACATCACATAATTTCATTCGTTGTCTTGGTGATTCCTCGGAACAAGCAACTCCAACCTCAAGTATAGAAGTAAGGAACTTGCGGATATTATGCGCTTTTTCTGGTTTTCGGGTACTGCTGCTTGATGCTTCGTTCCCTTCTAGTTCCAAAAGGAGGGCGTGATCAACAATATCCATCAGTCCTTTTGGCAATGCCATCTTGACGAAGTCGTGAAGGTTTGGGCCATCTTTGAACATATCTTCTGTGGGCCTTTTGCCTGTGAATATTTCCAACAAGAGGATTCCAAAGCTATACGCATCACCCTCAGCTGTTGCTATGCTTCCCAAGCCATATTCTGCAAATCCCACATGTCAGATTAAGCAGTTTATTATGCAAGATATTGTTTAAGACATTGAATCAATAACTAATTTTACTTTTAGCAATTATAAAAGAACCAGAAATATGACTAGAAAGTCAGTTCTCGCTAAGAATCTACACACCAGGTGCAGCATATCCAAAGGTTCCCTTAAAGCCGCTTGAGCTGGTCTGATTTGGAGGTATTTCAACATTGCACTGTTGAATGATCTTGGCTAGACCAAAATCACCCAGCCGAGCAGTCATGTTAGAATCAAGTAGAATGTTGCTGGGCTTCAGATCACAATGTATGATGGGTCTTTCACAATGGTTATGAAGATAATCCAAAGCAGCAGCTACATCAATGATTATGTATAATCGCTGAGAAAGACTCAAAACCTTTGGATCCTCATTCGCATCACTTGTTGTTTGCTGAGGTGGATGCAACCATGTCTCAAGACTCCCATTCGGCATGAACTCGTAAACAAGCGCTTTAAAATCAGCACCACTGTAGTCGACACCTGAGCAAGCAGTTATGACTTTGACAAGATTTCGATGTCTGATGCTTCTCAAAGCTTCGCATTCGGCTGTGAAGCTTTTGGATGCTCCTCTCCTTTGCAACTTGAGTACCTTCACTGCCACCACTGAATTATCTGGCTCGAGAACCCCTTTGAACACTGAGCCATAGCTACCCATACCAATTAGATTTGCTGCAGAAAATCCATTAGTTGCTTTGAGGAGGTCTCCATAAGAAATAAACATCAACTGATCTATCAACAAAGATGGTGAAGATGACTGCTTCCGTTCCTTCTTACGCCAATAAATCAATAGAAAACCAAGTACCAAAGTCAATCCCAGAAGTCCACACACAAGGGAGATTACTAACTTGACAGCGTGAGAAATTTTTGTCTTTCTGAACTTCTTGATGGAGCACATTGGCAGTCTTAACTCAGGTATTCCCCCACACAGATTCTTATTTCCAACCACAGATATTGCACTACCATTGCCGAAAACACCTCGAACCGGGACTTCTCCCTCAAAATTATTGAAAGAGAGGTTTAGTTTTCTTAAGAAGATAAAGGAACCGAAGTCTTTTGGAAGATTCCCGGATAAGTTATTGCGTGAAAGGTCGAGTTCTTCCATGCCTCTCAAAGAACTCAAAGAATTTGGAATAATTCCTGCGAAGGAATTATCGTTCATGTAAAGGCGCCCCAGGGAAGTACAAGCACCAAGAGTGCTAGGAATTTCTCTAGATAACTTGTTTTTAGAAATATCCAATTCAACTAGATTTTTCAATTTTCCTACTTCTGGTGGGAGGGGGCCATTCAGCTGATTTCGGGACAGGTTTAGAGATCTTGTCAAAGATGACAAGCCGATGACTTCCCGGGGGATGGTGTCATTAAGTGCATTACCAGACAGATGCAGTAGATTCAGATATTGAAAATTCCCTAGGCTTGAAGGTATGCTACCCTCGAGATTGTTTTCTTCTAGCCATAACTGGTTTAGCAACGTTAGATTTCCTATGGAGAAAGGAATTTTACCTGACAATTCGTTCTCACCCAAATCTACTACTTGTAGCTTATGAAGTCTGCCAAAAGATTCCGGTATGCTTCCTCTTAATTGATTATATCCCACATCGAACACATTCAAGCCGATTAGATTTCCGATACCAGGTAGAATGTTTCCGGATATTTGATTTCCTGGGACAGAGAAATATTTGAGTTCTGTTGAGAGGTTGGCGAAAGAGCTGGGAAATTCTCCTCCAAAGATGTTGTCATTTAGAAACAATATTTGCAAACGACTACAATTAGTTAAGGAGGTAATGAATCTAAGATCATTGGATCCACCACTTCCCAGATTATTATCATACAGACCTAGCCAGCTGAAATTCTTCAAATTTCCAAAATGGATATCAACCCCTCCAGAAAGTTTATTCATTGAGAGGTCTAGGAGATCAAGGTTTGAAGCATTTGATAATGAAACTGGTATAGTTCCATTGATGTAATTTCCCCAAAGGTTAAATACCTCAATCCTTGGAAGATTAAGGCCTATATTGTGGGGAAGATTTCCTTGAAGCTGATTATCGGCTAGGGATAAAACAGAGAGGAAAGAAAGATTAAAGATGGATGGAGGAATGTGACCTGATAGCATATTGCCAGGAAGAAGAAGAAGGGTTAGGCTTTTTAGTTGGCCAAGTGATTCTGGAATCATTCCCTCCAACCGATTGACATTCAAATCAAGTGTTTCAAGAGCTGAAAGGTTCCCGAGAGAAGTTGGGATCTTTCCTTCAAAATAATTCTCACCCGCAGAAAGGCGCATCAGCTTTGTTAAGAATCCAAGCTCAAAAGGGACCTGTCCCGTGAAGTTGTTTTTTCCTAAGCCAAGGATTCTCAACTTCGAACAACTTGATAGATTAGCCGGTATGTGTCCTTGTAAAGAATTATTTGACAACATCAACTCCTGCAACCGAAACAAGCGACTGATTTCTTGAGGGACTTCGCCTTTGAAACTGTTGTTTGAAATATCGATGATCCGAAGAAAACTGAGGTTTCCAATGGAAGGAGATATGTTTCCTGACAAGCTTTGTGACCTTAAGCTCAACAGGGTAACTCGTTGACGGCGGCGACTGCATGAAACACCCGTCCATTGGCAAAAATGGAGAGATGTGTTCCATGAGGATAGGACATGCATTGGATCATGAATCTGATCCTTGATGGCCAGCAAAGAAAGCCTGTCAGTATCGTTCCCAACATGATTGTGCATGGTGGCACCAATCATACTTGAGAAACCTTGAAGCAGGGTAATGCATAAGAGTAGAGCAGCAAATGAAGCAAAATAGGATTGAAGGGTTTTCATTTTTACTGAGATGTTTAAGAAATTGAGACTCTTGCTATGTATGGATATCTGTAGTCTCACAGTTTATACAAAAAACACACACATAGCACACCACATTTCTTTTCTTTGGAAGAAAACCATACATAGTACGAACGAAAATGAAGTGTCATCTAATCTAATTAATTCGTGAGTCTTGGAATTCCATGACCCAACAGTGCACGATTTTCACATTTCCTATTCCTAGCCTTTTCGTACCTTCTTTTGATTAGCTGACTCAAAGTCTTCTTGCAGGACTTGCTTGCTTGGATTAGCTGACTCAAAGTCTTGGACTAGCTGACTCGAAGTCTTCTTACAGGACTTGCTTGCTGACTCAAAGTCTTCTTGCAGGACTTGCTTGTTTGGATTAGCTGACTCAAAGTCTTCTTACAGGACATGAAGACAAACACATCATGCGCACAAATGTGATCATCATGCGCACAAACGTCATCACAAATAACAGGCAGGAAATTGCAAGCTCTAATATATTAAAATACAACATTCGGTGACATGTGGACTATTAGACATCTGTACAGAAATGTGATTGAATTATTGCGTTGTATTTTGGTAGATACTTACTGATAATATGTTTTTAATGTGTTTGATTCATCTTTTGAAATTCACTAACAATGGTAACAAGTTCATCATTTTACCTTAAAAATTTAAAATACATGATTTGATAATAAAATATTTATAATTTGTGTTTAAAACTAATATATTAAAATAACTCCAACAATAAATTTAAATTTAATTTTAAAAATTATAATTATCAAGTAAATTAATATGTTTACAAACAAATTAATAGTTTACATAATATATTAATTATGTTGGTACTAAATTAAAGTCACCCACACACACACACACACACACACTCTATTCACTTAGAACATTTGTGTAATTATTAGTTAAAAAATGATATATTAAACAATTTAATATAAAAGATTGAGGAAAAGTATTTTAAAAGAGAAATAATCGATTAGTACATGTAATCTTCTTCCATAACTCGGCATCAAAACGGAGATAGAGAAATAAATAATAAAATTGTAATCATATAAACAGGAGGCAGATCAATTAGAAATTCAGCTTTATCCATTATATTGGATTTCATTTAATCCGTTTGACAATGAACAGTTTTGGACTACATGCTAGCAAAAGAATACATCAATGTTACATAAACATACCCAAGCTGTCATAATGTTTGGAAAATGTTAAATGATCCCCAGCACTGGGTTGGGTAGGTGACTCTCACCGCAAAAATTCAAAATCGAAGGGAAGCTTTTCCGGAAATATATTGCACTTCATATCAGCCCCTGGCGCTGCAGATCAGTATATGTCTTTTTGTTGTAAATGTTACCCTCTTTATCTTCGTATTCTTCCTCAAGATCTGGGCGCCACTTGTTCACTCCTTGCCGCTCTTGTATCCTCTTCCATAATTCTTGTGCTTCCTGGCAAAAAAAATAAAAAGAGGTGAATAACTGAAATGTTAAATTCAAAACTAACACACAAAATCTGAACCAAGAATTTTAAATTTAAAAAATAAATAAATAGAATCGGAGTTTGATTGGTATAAGCGAAAAAAAAGGCATATAACAAAGGAAAGATCAGGTTTCAGAACAAGATCTGAGTGTGCACCTCAATCGACGTGATCTCATTGAAGTTCTTGGTGTTTGGAATGCCAAGGCAACGCATTCCATGCTGATGACGCCATTCCTTGAAATGCCGCTCAAACGCTCTACGACCCCAGTAGCTATAGTTCCCACATATCTCGCACTTGAATTCCTGACATGCAGAAAAATAATTGAGATCCTCTTGCCATAGAAATAGAAACTATCAAATAGTATAACTAGACAAGGATTACAAACAAAGATCCTCCAATAAACAACTAGTATAACTAGAGAAGTATTACGTGCATCGTAATGATAGATAATGATACTATATGTTACTTTTTGCAACTTGAAAATGAAAACTTTCACACATACCAATTAAATATATCTGGGAAAATAAAAACAATTTACGGCAGAAAAAACTACTCTCCAATTGTAGAAAGAACAAACTCCATAACCAAATTGCCGACAGAAACAAAAGATACCAGTGATGAGATATGATACTTAAAATGACAGTGAGTTTTCACAATTAAGAGGAGAAAATACCTGACCAAGACCATGAAGTTTATACAGCCAGTAGGGGATAGGCTTCCCATCCCAACCCATTGGCAACTTGAGGGGATTGTAAATCTGTTGGTCGTCGTCATCACTTTCAGTGTCAGCCTGTGTCTCTTCCTGCATCAGTTTCAACATCACATTATCAATTACTGCCATCAAGCACGGACATTAAGGTCTCACTTCTTGCACAATAACAACCACGTGTACAATTCAAGCAGACAGAAAAATTTCATGCAAATGGTCTTACTGTTTGTATTACAAATGGTCTCTAAATGCACAGTTGCCAATATGCCCTTACCATACCCTGCCCAGTACAAGCAAGGAAATATATTCTGCTTGTACTGAGTTGCAAGGGGTTTGATCCCATAATATCACCATGGTGCAAATGGCTTGCTTCAAATTAGACAGGTAGCAAAAGAAAATAAAAGGTCCTAAAGAAAGCTAAGCTAAAAGTTCAGATCCGCACTCTAGTTAAAGGCTAAAGCACTTGAAGAATTTGTGGAGCTTAAGACAACTTACCTCCTCGCGTTCTGCTTCCATTTCATCATATGTCAAAGCTTGCTTCTTCACAATATTTTCCTTCGTTCGTAAAATTGTCTGCACAAGGTCACCAAAAAATCAAATATCCACAAAAAAATAAAAAGGAAAAGAATTATTTAAGGCACATATGCAGCCAATATTCAAATGCAGATTATTAAAACGTACGAAAAAGCTGGCAGATAACCAAAATATTAAATCTCAATGTGCTATTGATCAAGAGAATGGAGAAGAATGGATAAATGTGCACCAACACTGACCTCATCCAGTAAGTCGCACAATTTATTCATTTTGGCCTCCATCAGAGCAATTTCTTTTGAATTGTCAACTTCTTTTGAGGTTGCAGCAGTACCATTCGGTTCCGATCCACGTGAACCTTTCACAAAATGTTTCTGGTCCAACTTTTCAAGAGGTGTGTGCTGCACAGAATAAACAAACAAATAAGTAAAACACAAAATGTCACATTGAATCTAATAAGAAATAGAAATTTTAAAAAATAAGTCATGCTGAGAACAAAATTAATTTAAGGAAATGAAGCATACCCAATTGAAGAACAGCTTCCACAGTATTTTAAGTCACAGATAAAATACTGCTATGTAGCTTGAACTTAGATGCTACATCATTAATGCTCTATTATCATGACAATAAACAAAGAAAGACACCCCCCCCCCCCCCAAAAACCCCAAAAAAAAAAAAAAAGAAGAAGATAAATAAATAAACAAATAAGTGCGCACACAAGCACTATCTGGCCATCCTGATTTTCTTAGTAATATAATCAAAGATTAGGAAGGAAGGGTTTACAAGATCAGACATGCTTTAGCTTAAACTGTGAGCCGATATTCAGCAGAAGAATTGGGCTGCTCTTTGATAAAATTCCATTTCCTTTCTTTTTTGGAGGTCTTCTTGTTCATCAAGTTTCGTAATTCTTAGGTTTCTAATACAATTTTCTCTCACCTAAATAAATATAAAAAAATCATGTTCACCACTGAATTGACCAAATATGAAATGGAAAACCACATTTCCTCCCTTACCAAAAGATTGATTATTAACCAAGAAACTAGAGACAAGGAACACTCACTGGATCTTTTTTTTGTTCCAAACAAAACTCATACAAGGTAAAAAGAACTAGTCCAACCTTTGTGAGGAAAAGCCTTTCTGCACGCTGCTGAACAGTACCACCACTCTTCAGCCCCAATGCAGCCAACGCCTGCCATAAAAACATGTAGCAAATGATTAAATAATTGGTAATCAGGAAGGACAACTAAAACCCACAAAATAGAATTCTGCAATCAAAACTGTCACAGCTCATGAAATGAATGTGAAACATTGATGAAGCAATAAAATAATAACAGTTGCCCACGTTATGGCATAGTTTGTAAATTACAAACTTTTGTGACCCCACAGCAACCCACTGGATATTTTTAACATTTTCCGGTGTTGATCACAGTCTAATATCAGGGTAATTCTTGTAAAACTACCGAAGCAATCAACAACAAAGAAATGTGACTTCACGATGATGGTCTCGATATAGTTAAGATTTTCCAGTGTTTGATAGCATTGTATGATATCAGAGTAGTTTAACATTGATCACATTGTATGACATCAGAGTATTTCATGTTAAACTACCAAGCAATCAACAACAAAGAACAGCATCCCATTTTGCACTTTAAGCTCAACACTCTAAGGAGAATGATAACAACAGCAACATGTCAGCATCAGCTGTCATTTGGTGATAACAAATTACAGAAGTAGATCCTTGTTTTCTTTGTCACTAGTATAAACTATCAGAAATCAGCAAGAGAATGCTCTATGATTATCGGTTTCCAAGCAAAAAGAAAACGATTCATGGAAAAAATGATATGCTTACCTCCTTTAATTTTTCAGGGCCCACTTCTTTGAGCTCCTCAACAGTGCTGTAAAAGTCAAGATCAATAACAGTATGATCAGCTGGCACATGCCCATTTTCTTGACCACTCTTTTCCCATCCTTGCACCGTGCCATTTTCCCATTGCTCTTCAAATTCAGTAGTAACCTGCAACAACAATCCTAAATTGTTAAATGAAGTACAAAATTGACTCTGACCATTCATGGTCAAAATCTCCTTTGTTCTATAGACTTGGGTTGAAATAAAAAGAGGCAGGCAATCACAATGCCGTATCATTTCTTGCGAGCGAATGTCTAGCAGTCTTGTGGCAAAGAATGTGTTTAAAATAAAGAAAAAACAGGGTTCATTTTTCTTTCTTTTTTTATCTTTTTGTCCTTAAAATTACAGGGCAAATGAGTTGTGGCTGAGCCAAGTCTAGCATCGTGATGTTTAAATGTAGCACATTTTGTAGCCCTATAGGCCGATATAGAACTAATGAAAACTTCACACTTTGGAACTTTTGGTAAAAAAATAAAAAATAAAAACATGATTAGAGACAATTTTAGCAGCACTTGGCAGTAAGAAACAAACAAATTACTGCTCAACACTAGTGTTAGCATTTGTGAATCAAGGAGGCACACATCATATGGCATAATAAACACCATGAGGAAATGAATTTGAAAAAACCAATGACAGAGAAAGAATCATATAAAAACCTTTGAAAAAATCCTATCAAGATCCTGCAAGGGCTCTGTCCGCTGGAAAAAATAAACTAAATATTCAAGTAGATTCTCCATGTATTCCCTGTATTGCCTGCAGAAAATTGGAAGAAACATACATTGTAAAATTTGGACAAATAGTTTTGTGTTACAGATGCAGGTGATATAGCACCTGATTATTAACTAAAAATAAATTTTAAAAAAATCAGGGATAAAAAGAGAGAGAGCCTACCTTGTAAACTTTACTTTACGGGGTACCTTATGTGGTTGGGAGAAAATGTCAAGGTAAGTAGAGTATTCAACAGGTTTCTCGAATTTTAAATTATTGTACTGGTTATACAATTCGTGCATGTCTAGGTATTTCCCGAATGCTTCCTGTAATATAAATCCAGCCCAAGAGTTAGTCAATTTAAATTGCAGGGCAAAAACATACAACATAATCAGGTGAAGTCTATGGTAGGAAAAAAAAGGCAAATACTTGTTTTCCATTAGCTTTCCACTGCTTATTTAATGCATCGACTATGATAACAAATTTTGTGCAAGCACTATTTCACTTTTATACGAAGGGGAAAAGGTTAGAAACTACTACAGCTCTAAACTATCATTTAACTAGCATGAAATATTTGAATCTTACCATGTGAAACTAAAGTCCCAACGTTCCAAACTAAAAAGACTAGTCAGACTCTCAAAATTTTTGCAATGTGACACCTAGTTTAGTTCTCCTAACACCACCATCTAATTGAGTAGGTTCACTTATAGAGCAAAAAAGAAGATAAAAATAATCCAAACCAGTTTCCTAAAATGCTATAAGCTACAGCAACCCTAATTGTCAGTTGCCTAGCATAAACACATCAAATATTCGCATATGAAACAAAAGGCCAAAAATATCAACAAGTGCACTAAGCTGAAATAATGATTAAATGACACAAGTTAGAGAGGCTGACCTCGCCAGTAAACTCAATCACTGGTTCCTCTTTAAGCATTGACTCATAATCCTCATTAGCATCAACAACACGTGCCGCTGGATGCCTTCTGTGATACTCTCGAATCTTCAAACAAAAAATTAATTAATTAAGTAATACACAAGCAAGCATGCGGACACAAGTTCAATCTGCAGAAATTGCATAAATGACAAGGAACCGGTAATTTGCCAAATCAAAGTCAATAAAAATAAATAAATTACCTCTTTTAATCTATCATAAAAAGCACTAAACACATTAGTCCCCATCGCAGTTTGTCCACCAAGCGCAGCAATCTCATCTTTCCTCGCATTATCTTTATCTTCATAAATCTCAACCTGAAAAATAAAAATCAAAATCACACACTAATTATAACTATAATTGCCTTCAATTAAACTTAATTAATGAGACAGAGAGTGGAATTACGAGTTTCTCAGTAGTGGTAATGATATTGTCGATCATGTTACGGACACGGTGGCTTTGGAAAAGACGGTCTTTGTTGTTTGCTGGTTCATTTTGGAGATCTTTAACGATTAGTCGTTCGAGTCTCTCTACTTCCTCGTGAGAGGCGCGAGTCCCCTCTAATAGAGTCGACGACATCTTCACGGCGGTCTCTGCCTGAGGTGGATTTCAGTGTGGTTTTTGTTAGGGTTTTCCTTTGGGTTTCTCTACTGAGAAAGAAATTAGAGCAGCTAATGGACGCAAGGTTCGATTTTGAATGGATATTTTCTTATACGCAGTAAAACGACGTCGTTTCTATCGGTACAAAGGACGATAAGTATAATGTTTGCTTTGAATTACAGTATTACCCTGGAGTTTGGTATAATTATACTAGTTGGCTCTTCTTTTTATTAAACTATATGATTACCTCTATATGAGGGTTTTTTTTCAGATGAGGTCAGATTTAAATTTTTCTCTCACCGTAAGGAAAAAAGATTGTTAATGGATAAATCCGTTTATATGGCTATGAACCTATTTCTTCACCTTGGAGACATAGAAAATGAGCTAAAATTTATGTTTTTAAGAAAATAAATTATATAAATCAATTTAAACACAAAACGTATTCAATATATAAAAGGCAAATATATTAATCTATTCTTATATTATATTCAAAACTTCTTATCTATTTCTAAATTGTGAACTATTTAAAAAAAAATATTCAATTTTTTCTTAAAAAATTGAATATGCATGTTCTTAAAAAAATTTAAAATATTCAATTTGTCTTTCTAATTAATTTTTTCTATTTTAAAAAAATGAATCAAAATGCTCCTAGTTTAAATATAAAAAAAAATTTAAAGACTTCAAAAATAAAACAGGCAAGTTATGTGACTTTAAGTATATATGTATATATGTATATATATACTTTTTTTTGTTGCATTTTTAAACAGCACATTTTGGTAAAAAAAAAATTGATCCATGATAGCAAAATTTGATCAAAAAGATAGATTAAATATTTTTAAAATAATAAAAAACAAATGGGATGTAATTAAAAACTTAAAAACAGATAAAATATTTTAAGTATTATATAAGAACATATTGATCTATTTAGTCATATATAAAGACTTATATTTTTTATAGCTGACAAAAATTTTCATTTCATATTATAAAAATATTTTTTATGCAATCATACGTTAAAAACAATATTATACATCGAGTCTACCAATATAGAATTAGGACTCCAAAACCCCAATAAAACACATATTAAATCGGTCTACAATATAATCTATTTCGACAAATTTCATTTTATATATTAAAAAAAAGTTAGTGCATTAATAAAAATTTATAGTATATTTGAATTATTTTATAGTTCTTATATACTTTCATCACTACAAGACCTTTCTTTTTTTAATAATTAGCATTTGAATTATTTTGTTAATAAGCACCAATATTGGATCACTTTTAATATTTTTTTTTCATATCTAACATATTTGGATATATTTATGCAACTTCAAATTTAATGGTATTATTTAGGAAATAATGTGAAGGGTCCATGAAATTTCAAATCTTTAGAGGTCTTATGTAATTTACTCAGACTCAGAGCATCATAATTACAGATTTCCAAATTAAAGGGACTAGAATGCAATCATGGCCTTTCGTCGAGGGCCGTTTAAGCAGCTTAGGCCTTAGCCAGCACGAATAACCATTGCCCTGTCGTCCCTCTCCAGAGACCTTTCGTTTCTTTTGCTTGAAACTTTAGAATGCTGTTAGAAAGAACAACGAAGATCAAAAGCATTGAAAAAGCTCAATTTTCTGTTAAAAATATCAATGTGGAAGCTAAATCAGTTCATATCAGGTGATGATGGAGAGAGAGAAGAGAGTTTTTTGGAAGAAGAATCAGATGGGATTTGTTCACTTTCTCCTACGCAGGTTTCTTGCTTCTTTCTTGATTAAAAGGTTTTCATATTTTTTATAGTTTAAAGCTTTTTCGCTATCTGGGTTTTTTGTTCATGCAGAGAATGTATGCATTTGCTGCTTCTTTGGCCGCTGGTTTGATTCTTATGTTTCTGGTATGTCCACCTTTTGTGCTTAAAGTTTATCTTCCTTTTTTTTCTTTTTGGGTTGTATTGAAGCATTAAATGTGTTCTTTATGCAATGTTAGTGATTGAAATTTAATGGGCTTTGGACAGTGGTAATATGTAAAAAAATTGGCTTTTAAAGAGGAAAATTTGGAAGTAAATAATGCTAGAAATATAATATAATAAAATATTATAAAGACCTTATAGATTTTCTTCCTCTGTGTTTATGTCTGTGTCCAAGGTTTTAAATTTCTTTATTGAACTGAATCTTTGTCTATAAACCAGTGGAATTGCTTCTGAACAGTTTATAGAATGTTTAATGCTTTCAGTTCAATCTAGAGTTGGTTGCTGTATCTCCTGCTCTACTAAATTAATGTTGCCAATTCAATCTGTTCTGGGCTATCCGTCTGAAAGTGCCTTAAGGAAACTAGTCCGAAGTTTGAGATTACAATGGTTTCAAATTTTTTAGGTCATTCATCGTGCCTTTGTTCACTAATGATTTGGCCTATAGGGAGACTATAGAAGATTGGGATGATACTTATTTTGATTGGGAAGGTTAGTAGCTTTTCTGCTTGATCTTTGGCATTTTATACAGGTGTGTTCTCTAATACAACCATACAAGGAACTACTATCATCTTCTAGCATGTCTTTTATTAGACTACTTTACGTAATACCACCACGGCACAGTCCCATAGCAAGCTTGATATTACACTTCCTTTTTCCCTATCAGGGTATCTTAAAGAGGCAAGTTGTCCACATCTGCAGATCATGTGGTTATTGGCATGTTTCCACTCCATTCAGCATGCGTTCTGAATAGGATGCCTCAATCACCACCATTTAGATAACTTATATATCAAATCACCACTCCCTTTGGATGATATTAGCATATGTTGACTTGGTGATTGATCTGGGATTAGCTCTGGAATGTATACTGAGGAGTAGTCCTCTAAGCTTGCCACGAGAAGAATACAAGACTTCCTCTCATCTTGGAGATGTTTGACAATCGCCACTTCTGGACTGTCTATAACAGTCTTGAGCCTATGAGCATGTACCATATATTGAGCCCCTTGCTAAAAATTTCCATTTCTTTTCTCTCTCTCTTTTAAAATTTCTCTCAATGTTGCTTTGTCTCCAACAAGGCATTACCTATGTATGTAAACCCTCTCTGTCATCCATGGAGAAGACTCTTAGCAAGCTTGCCTCAAATTAGATCATTGGCCAAACTATTAAAAGAAGATCGCATTTCAAAATTCGCATCATAAATAGAAGTTTAGAATATATCTTAGATGTTCACAATGATATATATTTGTATTTTATTAGTGTTAAAAATATTTAGTTTGTGGCTGTCAAAAAATGGAAAGAAGTGAATGAATATGGTGTGTATCTAGAGAAATTTTTCTCAGGTTCTTTCCCTCAGGTCACATTGGTAGTATACCTAATTGCATAAGAGGTGTTGTATAACCAAAATATATGTAAATTTTGACCTCCTAACTTAACCTCTTTCCTTTTATGTGAGTATTGAAACTCTAGGCATCTTCTTAACATCTTGCTATAGAAGCTGCAAGTCCCATTATTGCTACTAGGAAGCAGTTCTCTTTTGTTTCCTGATTTAGTAGGTAAGTTTAAACTAGTTGAAGGAAAATACAGGAGGATAGAGCGTTGAGAATCTGAGCATGTTGAAGGAATATACTGATTTTGAGGTCATTATCCTGTGAGAAAACATGCTAGCTTTTGTGACCATTTATTTTGACATTTTGAAAGCTTTATTTCTATGGAAGCATGTGGCTGGTAGCTTTATAAAATTTTCTTGTGTTGCAGTCCTTAATTGTCTTTGCCAAGCCCATCAAATTTGCATTATTGTTCACCTTTGGCAATGTGTTGGCAGTTGGAAGGTATACTGACATTTTTACTCAACTTAGCAATATGTTTTAAATCTTATATTTTTTTATCTCTCTGTTTGCTGCTTTGTTCAGGCCAACAAATTTATATTCATTCCCCATGCCACCCTGAATTATAATATTTCGTGCACTCTGGAAAATTTTTTATTCCACTGATATTAGCAACCTTCTGTGCATTTTTACTTTTCTCTCATCATATGTAAAACAAAACACCACGTATTCATCATAACAGAGGAAGGACCTTTTTTTTTTTTTTTTCCTTTTCATCGAATTTTGGTGACTTCATTTTATTCTTTCATCATATAAACACTCTGAATCTTCTGAAAAAAACTATTTTAATCTGATCACTTTTGATCTGGGAATTTTTGGCACTCCAAGTCAGACTATACCAGCCTTCTCAGTACGCTATTATTGTGTATCTGAAAGTAAGTTTACATAAGTTAAAGAGTTTCATAGATCCCATGCAGATAGTATCCCTGCGATCATCAGCAATTCAGTCAGCTGAATTGTTCTTCTGCTCGAGGTCTTTTGCATTCTGAATGTGTTTTGTGTATGGCAGCACAGCTTTCCTCATTGGACCTGGGCGACAGTTAGGTATGATGTTTGACCCTGTCCGCATCTATGCAACAGCAATTTACATCGGATTCGTTGTTCTGGCTCTCATTTGTGCTCTCTTGGTAAGTCAACAGTTTCAATTCTTTTGCCGAATATAATGATATTAGTGCCCCTTAATAATGGAGAAACTTGGGAAATTAAAGTGCAGCAAATTATGATTACTTTTTATGACCTATAGGGTTACTTTTTATGATTACTTTTTCACCTCCCCTGATGGGCTTTCATTCCTTGAACTTGTATTCTTGTGCTGTCGTTCCAGAGAACTTCTCCCTTCCTCAAAAATTGACCAAGATTTCAATAAAGGTCAATTTTGAAAGCCTTGTAATTTGAACAAGGTGATAGACTAAAATGGCCTTGTCATCACAAATTGTGGTCCCTGTGTCCTTACAGGGCTAAAGCTTCCCCTGCTTTTATTAGAGAAAAGGAATGTTCAAGATAAATTTGGAGAACAAGACATCTCCAAATGGGAAAAGAAAATTAACAAATTTTAAAATATAAGAGAACTGCAATTGTGTTGATTATCTAATAATAAAACACACCTATATATGCATCTTTCTCATTAAAAACGCTTTCTAATTGTGGAAGTAGTTTTAGATCATTTCTGCTTATTTCTTAATGACTTACAAACAGGTATTTCTACACTTTCTTTTCATGTTGCAGATCCATAGCAAGATTTTAACAGTGTTTGCAATCATATTTGAGATTTGTGCCCTTATCTGGTAAGTTCTACTTTCATTTTTGCCCATTTCACTAGTTTTATGAATGGTACAAGGATATAAGATTAGAATTGTACGGTAAAGTCTTGCAATATCCTATATGCATAGGACACAAGGATATTCAGACAATTCAGAATGGAAATTATGCAGGGCACTCTTAATTGGTTTTCAGCCATCTACTGTAGCTTTCCTAATTTTTCTGACTACACCATATGATTTTCAGCTATACATTTTATATATTAGGCAGCATCTCTACGATAGGTTCTCCAAGTTTAACAATAAGAAGCTCTATTGGGCATTTTAAATGCTTTGTTCGTGCCACTTATATGTCTAGTTTGAGCTGTTTCAGGTACAGCCTGAGTTATATTCCTTTTGCTCGGAGAATGGTGTCTAATTTGATGATCCGATTATGTGACACTGAGTTATAGCTAATGCAAATTCAAGAGAGCGATAAACTAAGAGATTCTTGAAGCCTTGGCTTACAGCTGCTGTGTTCCTGCTTTTTCATCTGAGTTTGCATAGAAAGGATTTTTTCCAAGAGTTTAGAGTTTGGCACTTCTGATTGTTAAGTTGGCATTATATGGTTCATGATTTCTCAATTCAAACTTCAATTACCTTTATCTCATCACCTTTTAACTTTCCTCAGGCTAAAGAAACCTAGGCTGTGACCTGGAACATTTGGCTAGGCTCTCTTGCAAAAAAAAAAAACTCTGCATATAAAAATATGTAAGGCAATTTGAAAAATGAACTCTTTCCTGATCACTTAATAGGTAGCCCTTTACCTCCACATGGTATGGTTTCATTTGAAACAACAAATTTTTTTTCCCTCGATCAAGAAAAGAAACTAAGAACGCTTTGCTAAGGATGAATATGATTCTGTTGGTTAGAGACCCAAGAGGTTAAAATTTTTGGGATGGGTGCTGTGAATTGGACTGATGAACTCTAAGAGATGCCATACAAAAATGCACAGCCATGTGTTTTTGCAGGCATGGTAGTTCTCCCCAAGATTTTTCTGTTACTAGAGGAGGATCTTACTCGAGTCAGTTCCGTCGCTGCAGATAAAGAGTCAAGATTTCTGTAGCAGAAGATAAAGGAGTCAAGATTTTTCTTCTTCTTTTTTTCCAAAATAATTGTAGAACTGGTGTTTAAATTGACCTTATCTGTAACATTCAGTTCCAAGAACTTGATCATACCTTATCCTTCCAAGTATTCTGTTTGGATTAGGATCCTCAGGCAGCATAAGCTGTGAGCTCTTCAACTTGGTTGCTCTTCTTTCTAGAAGTACCAATATTTCTGCTTGTAAATCTTCTAATATATGTGAAGAACAACTGTTTCCTGATCATTTCAACTTGAAACCATAACTTCTAATGATCTGGTTTCATTTAGAACAACCTTTATCTTCTCTTTATTTAACAGGAAAACTAAGAAAAAACTAAAAAAAACCAAGAATCCAGCCCAGAAGCTTCAAAATGGACCACTGTAAAAGGTAAAAGAAACTGGGCTGGGAGGAGTACAAGATTGATGGATGCACTTCAATAAATTCCACAAATTTATAGATTCTAGCAAAGAGCAAAGACTAGCCATTATTTTTCTAGCATGGTTTGGTAGATGAGGGAAGAGAATCAGTTTTTGCTCCTCCATGCAGTGAAGCAGATAATAAATTAAGAGTTAAATTCAAAGCATATAGGTATATTTTCTAATTAAAACAAGAAGTGCATTGATAACCCAGTTAGGCCAAATTTAAAGACAGCCCTACTACTCCTTCTAATCCAGGCAAATAACGTCTGTCTCTGTTGAAATCTAATTTGCAATCTCACCGTACGATCATAGTTCCCTCCAAGAGGTATAAATAGGAAAAATGGATTAGGAATCTCACATGTGTCAAAGATGGCAAAGAAAAATGGTGTCCAATATCAGTTTGCTAGCTCATTAGAGGTTGAAAACGATAAAGACATCTTTCCACATCCATGTTTTGGACAACCCAATGGTGACATGAGATGATATGAACTTGGCACCTAAAACATGGGAGAGATCTGCATTGAACAACCTTAGCGGTAGCTACCTACCACCGAATAGAATGTGTCTTTGAACTACCAAGACTTTCTGCCCAAGCAGACACACCTTTCGTCAACAGTAGCATCTGCCTATTGTTCCCGAGGCAAATGATCTGTCCTTGTCTCCATTATACAGGGACCATGCCAAGACTCCTAGCATGGCCTGCATGCAAGATTAAAGTCAGTGACATGATTGCTTGCAGTCTTGTACATCTAGAGTTTTGAGAACTTGTGGTGGAAATGCCCTCTGGCCTCTCCTTATATGGCACCAGATTCCTGGTCTTGGAAGCAACTTCAAGACTTTGGGCTGAAGGTTGGTAGATGGTTCTTGATGATGTTTAATAGTCCCAGCATTGAAATGTAGATGTAGATACAAGGGTTTTGTCCTGAAAAAAAAAATGTCTTTTACAAAAAGATACTAACCTAATGCACTTATAGACGTTCTAAACTCCACTTCTAGACTATGTGAAATATTAAGATGAAATTCACCTCTTATTCTTATATTATTCAATATTGTTTTTTAAAAAAAAAATTATCTAGATATGATACAAAACAAATATTGTACTGCTTAATGTTAGAACAAACCAACATTTTTTATTTATATCTCGTTAACCATATATCATCAAATTACTGATCAAACGATAAATTGAGAATCTAGTTTGTTCAAATATATATATATATATATTATTTTTACAATTTCTGAATGAAAAAGTCAAAATAAACAATATTAGATAATACAAGATTATTGGGTGAATTTCACCAAAATATTAGCAATATTAATTCTAATACAAATCATTTTTGTAATAAACTATTCATTAAAAGACATAAAACTCTAACCCAAAAGGGTTGATTTGAGTGAAAAAAGTTTTAATCGCTGAACCAAATGGTTTCGAGTTTCAATCTTTATATGTGTAAAAAACTCCTTAAGTAGCTATATATGTTTTGTACGTCCGACCAAGCAACGAGAGATTAATCTGGACCTTTGGATCTAGAATACCTAAGAAATCCAAAAAAGAAAAAGACATAAAACTCCTTTTTTAGATCCTCAATAATTTCTCTAGAATTGATTTCAATTTTCATCGTGGAGTTGCTTTAAAAGAGCCCATAATTTAGTTACTCAAATCATAATGCTTGATAAATAAACCCACTTGCTGCCAATTCAATATAATATTAACTCTAACTGATTATCATTAATCTCAAAATAATTGAAGAAAGCTACAACATTTTTGTTTTCATCTCCATTGGAGTAGTTCATAATTCCATGTAAGATCAAAGTGAAGTTTGGTGCTAGGAACATATTGCTATAAACATCACAATCATACCATGGTGCATGTATCATGCCAAAAACACATCAAATGCCTCCTTTACCAAGATTTCTTTCAAGTGGAAACAAAATTAAGTATGATTAATTATAAGGCTGGTTTTGACCATTGTTAGTTAATAAAGCAAAGATGATGCAGCCCTTTAAAGTGAATCTTCATGTCTTATATACACACAGACATAAGCAAGAAGAAAGTAAGAGGAAATGGGGGTTGGTGGGAAATAGTTTACAGCATGATGTTCGTAAGGTTCTCTCTCTTATGATACTGTTTAAATCAAGTTTCCAACCCATTTCCTTCCACATTTTCCAGCTACCCACTTCTAGTGTAGGGTCCATAACACCTATAGTAGTAATTTAAGAAACCAACTTACCACCCTTCCTATAAAAAATTAGAAAAAAAACACTGAATAAACTCTTTTTTTTCCTTAGTTTTTTTTTTTTTAGTATCTTTGTTCTATATTATGACTAATTTTATTTGCGATGAAAATGATAAAATTTCATTTATTCCAATAATAAGTTCAACTCTAAGATTCAAATATGCATATTTGTAAGAAATTCACTTGAGAACCAATTTATTTATGGTTTAACCAACTTCTTTTTTTTAAGGAGTAAATTATAAATTAGTCTTTTCATATTTTTGACAAATGAATTAAATATTTTTTAAAAAAAAATTAATTGTTATTTTCTTAATCGAGTAGTGATCGTGCTTAATTTAATATTATTTTATTTTATAAAATGTCATTTTTTCTTAACAATCCTTTTATATTTTTTACTTATTTTTTCTATTTCTTATAACCAAAAATTAAAATAAATTAGAAAGGAGTTAAAAGGACTAAATTACAAAGAAAATAAAAATATAAAAACTAAATTATTAATTTTTTTGAAACAAGAGGGACTAATTTATAATTTTACTCCTAAAGTATTGAAGCTTTTTTAGTAGTCGGCATAATAGAAGTATTGTTCTCATTGATTTTTATAGTACAAAGTATATAATATGGTTTTCTTTTTCTTTTTCTAACAAAAGGCCAAACGGTCATTGAATTGTCTAATGAGAATAATTTTTAAAAAAATTCTTTAAATTTCTAACTCATTTCAAACTTTCTATAAAAAAAATCTCAAACTTTAAGGACTCATCTAGTTATTTAAATAATAACAACAAGATAATTTCAATTTGTAACGATGAGTTGATATTATATCTTCTCTATATACAAAGTAAAAGGAAGTAATTATTTAAAATTTAATTAGATTTTAACAAATCAAAATACCCACAAACTTTTAGTCCTGCCAAAGATAAACTTACTCCCATATTTTCTCCTTGTTTTCTTGAACAAGAAACTTTCATGGCATACCTACAAAATATGTTTTCATTCCTTTCATATTGACCCACCTAAGCCCAAAAAAAAAAAAAAAAAAACCCAACATTTTATTTTCCCTCTATTTTTAATCTTTTACCAAACCCAACCTTAACTTTTTGTGAGAGAGAAATCTTACACTTTGAACCTACCAAAACCCATCTCTATAGACACATGCAGTCAACTGGCAAAGGCAAAGTGCAAGTGTCTCTGTCAAGAAAATTAAGTGTCATAACTTTCCGCCACTAAGACCCCACTTCAAACCCACCAATAAAACCAACCCTTAACCTTCAATCATTGGTCCATGTCCTATTCATGAGCCCCAACATCGGCATTGAAATCCAATAATACCCCAACGAGCAAATGATATAGGTGGCTCCTTGCCTGTTCTCTGACCTTTAGAATCTGTGAAGGAGTACAAAAATGAAGTAGGAACTCCTCACCTAATGCAATGGCCAATCATAATTTTCTTTATGAATTGCTTAAGAACTTGACCAATTGCCTCCATATCTATGATGGACACCTTGCTTCTTTTGCAATCAAGATCAAGCCAAAAGGGTTTTTTTTTTTTTTTAATCAAATCCATTGACCATGTTATGAGATCTTAGCTTGCCCTTTTGCCGACCTAAGCAATGTAGTCTAGCTAGGCCATGCACAATTCTATAGGATCATGACCACTAACCTCATAACAGGATACCTTT